GTTCTCGAACCAAATTCTCGGCATCAAAGCCGGGCGAGGAGATCGCGGGAATCTATGCTGGAGTCGAGTAAGAATTGTTTAATCGTTGACGCGGTCGTTCACACACGCGCCAGCTCCTCATGTAGTCGGTTCGTCATGACTGCCTTCAATTAGAATCCTCCGCTGATGTCTACAAACGACTCCAGAATCGAAGGGGAGTCCCTCGTAGCGCGAGGTTGGGGTATTCCGCTACGAGTGGGTCTCGAGCTTCACTAGTCGGAATCTTGATGGTGATCGTAGAGAACCGCTGGACCGTTCTAGGGAATATGGCGAGCGATGTAACAGGGACCGCTCGTGGGTGAATTTGGGACAACTTCGCTAGAAGCTGCCCGCAAGAATTTTAATGATCAAGGTTGCCAGGCTGGAAGAGGATTTGCCGTACGATGAATAATTCACGATTTTCTAGAAAGAGAGGACTCCGAACTGCATGTTCGGACGAGGTACGATAAGCTGCCGAAGCCGGAAATGGGCTTCCATGATGAGTCCCCCAAGATTTGAACAGAAGGAGGGGCTCCTGAAAAAACTCTGTCCGAGTGTCTTCGTCCCGACGAGAATGAAGAGCTCCCGAGGTCCCCCAGAAGACTCGCATCGCTGCCGGGGAGGGCTATGCCGGATGCTGACCAATGCGCCTCGATCGAGCCATTTCAGCAATGTAATCACGAATTTCTGAATGAACATGACGTGATAATTGTGGCAGCCTAATTGTGGAGCGTACCGTTCGATTATTTTCGTGCATTGTGCTCGTCGTCGAAAGTCAATGACTAGCCCATATCCGTTCCATTGTTCTGTGGAATCTACTACGATCCGGACCTTGATAGTAGGATTCTTTTCATTGACAGAATCAAAATTCGCTCTCCCAGCGCTCATGAGTGGATCCAGGAGCGCTGAGAGAGATCATCGTCGGTGGTTTCATTCGCGGATTAGCGGTGCGGATATATCCAGATGTGTGGAAGGCGGCACAAAAGATCGAATTGATTCCAATACAGTTTCTGCCGAGCAATCGACAAGGCTCACCCTGTATTTCGAAGGGAAGAACGGCTCCAGATCTCTCGTCGCCTGCGGTGAGAATGTCGCTAGTTTCCACTGACCGGGATTATCAGCAAAGCCCTCATGGTGAAAATTCGCTTCTAAGGACACCCCGATGTGCATATATACCCCACGACACAATTGACGAGCGCTGCCAGAGTTCCACAGCTGGAACAGGAGAATTTCCAGAGCGAAGAACCTGGACGGTGGCATCTGCTCACCACGGCGACATTAAACTTTGCTGTTCGAGAATCTGTGACTTCCGCGCTGAGATATCCCATTGATAATGTCGGAGACCCGTTCCGGGATCTTTGCGAGGGGCTCATCTTTCCATGAGGATATTTTCCCGGACGGCAAATCAGGGCCTGTCACATCTAGAGGACCTGATCAACAAGGGGAAACTTCTACGTATAACTATTAACTTGTTCATGACGTTTTCACAAGGGGGCTGATGTGTATCGTTCCACACTCGGGACAAAAGTATATGCGTCGGATCTGGCAAAATACATAAATCCCCCGTATAATTCGGCTTTGCAACGGGAACAATGGTAACACGGCAGGACCCTCCGTAGCGGTACTCCTCGGATCTAACACACGTTCATAAACACACCCAAACAACGCATTCCCAATCAGCACACAACAATCACGAGAGATCGGTTTCCAGGATTGGGCATAGTCGTCTCTCCAATCTATCTATCTATATATTTCTATATGAATGTATGTCTGTCTGTCTGTCTGTCTGTCTGTCTGTCTGTCTGTCTGTCTGTCTGTCTGTCTGTCTGTCTGTCTGTCTGTCTGTCTGTCTGTCTGTCTGTCCGCTACAGACTCGAAAACGGCTGACCCGATCGTCGTGAAAATTTAGGAGTGTGTTCTCGGAGAACCCAGGATGGTTTTAGGGGGGTCAGTTCTCCGATGCGATGAGTCCTTCTACCTTAAAAAAATTATTTGAGTGCTCCAGTGACGAAAATACGAAAAATCGGAAAAAATTGAAAAATCCGAAATTCGCAAAATTCACAAACGCCTGAACCGATCGCCGCAAAAATTCAGGGTCGGATTCCCGGGAGCTTCAGGAATGTCGTATGAGAGTCGTCGTTCTCATATGATGGGTCCTTCCCCGAAGAAAAAATTATTTGAGCTGTCCTCTCACCGAGAATCAAAGATTTTATACAGGGAAAGACGGGAATTCGCAGGATTTTTCAACGACTGGACCACCGTGTGGGGGCGGATTCTCGGGAGGTCCTAAGAAGGCTATCGGGGGTTGCCGTCATCATTGGGGTCTGGCTTTCTACTAATGGATCTCTCCGAAAATTGCTGTAGCCGTGAAGGGAAAAGATTTTCCGAAGAACATATGGAATAGAAGCGGGCGCACGGGAAAGTGGGGAAACGGGAAGCGGGGAAATGGGGAAGCGGGGAAACGGGAAAGCGGGGAAACGGGAAAGCGGGGGAAACGGGAAAGCGGGGAAACGGGACGCTCACCAAGAGCACGCGCGACCAAAGCAAGCGCACCCGGAGCCAGCGCACTCGGAACCAGCGGCTGATCCTCCTTCAGAGGGTATACTCTCGATCCCCCGACTTTTCGACCCGCTAATTTAGCGGGCTTCCTGAGCCGCTCCAGAGATAGTCGAGAGATGAGAATCGACCGGACTAGTTCCGCTCGATAGAGTCGATGAAGCCTGCTTACAGATCGATGCCGCCTCTCTGGGCGCCGATCACCCCGCCCATGGGAAGCTTGAATTAATCAATTGAGCATCAAAGCTTGAATTAATTAATAATGTCGAAGAATACCGACAACCTGTTCACCGATGGGCAGGTGCTGCAAGTGGAAAAAATGCTCAACAAGAGCGAAAGTCGGCTTCTCGGTAAGCTCTCCGAACACATAAATCGACTGATCAAGCCAATCAGTGAAAAAATTACTAGCCTTGTGGAAGAAAATGATCAACTGAAAGGTCGACTCACGGAATTGAAGTTCAAGAGCACTCGTAACATGATTGAACTAAGGGACTTCCCGGTAGTCCCGGCTATGAAGCCCGGGGGAATCGTCAAACGAATCTATGCGGCCCTCGCCATACCGTTGCAAGTTGAAGAAATTGAGCAAGGCCACAGGTCGGGTAAAAAGAAGACGATCGATGATGATCTGTGTCAAAATCTGACAGTGTACCGACGGTACAGTCGTACTGCTGTCAAAATCGTCGAAACAGCTTAGGGTCTCTAAGAGACAAAAGGACCACTGACTGCCAAGGCACTGGTGTCCAGAGGCCCCCACTTGCTGTTTCAATACTCCATTACCTGCCACCCGAGCTCAAACAGTCGAAATGGCTAGCCCGTAAGAAGAATGAGACTCTGGAATACAAGAACGTTTGGATAAATGCCGGGGGTAAGCTCCTCATGAAGAAGACAGAGGATTCTAAGACGATCTGGATAACCTCTGGGAGTCTGGACCATGGCATCAATATGTTTATACCAGATCTCATATATTCACCGACTCATCATGTACCCTGTCTGTAGCCATTCGCTCTCGTTAAGAGTAATTTCTCGAGCTCATCACTCACTATTCACATGCCATCTGCGGTACCTGGGGAGGACGCCGGAGGTGAGAGGGGGCTGATCAAAATTCACATACTTGACAAACGAAACCTAGATAGCTATTTGGCGATTCTTCATACGCAGGACATTGACATCATCATACTAAGCGAAACCTGGCTTGATGGTTTCAATGAGAAGACTTTCACAGTCATATCGAAGGTTGGCATCAGGGTCTTAACCGAGTGGTTCGGGAGAGCCATGTGAATATCTTCGAAATGGTCGAGCATATCCAGAAACAGGAGGCGACGTGTTCAGTCAAAATGCTGATGCTCGAGATGGGCCAAGCTCCGGGGAGACTGAAGAAAAAATCTCAATATCTGAACGATAAACTCATCAAGTTTGTGGATGAATTAGAATCGGATCAGATCTCCCTGATCGAGTACGTACACCGCGTGGGCTTTGATCTTTATTCGCAAGCCTGAGACTGAAGCCTTTGAGCTCCCTGAGATAGTTAAATTACCGATACGAATACATAATCCTCGAAAAGAGAGATCTACCGGTAGAAGGAATAAAGAACGTGGAAGGAGGATGCCTCCAAAGGTCGGAGACACCCATGGATCCACGATTGAAAGTGATCGGGAGCTCATAGAAGTCTCCGAGACGAGTGATGGGTGGCTAGAGAGGGCGCTCCGCGATCCCGCTGAATCAGCGGGTGGAGAAATCGGGGGATCGAGAATTGGGGCATCGGGGCAGAACCCTTCAGAGATTGCGGCAAGACACACAGACGCTGCAGCCATCATCCCAGGATTCAGGGTCGCCGTTCTCGACGATTGCCTCCAGGAAAGCGGGGGAAACTGCCACGGATTTGCGCCGTTTCGTGAGCTAGGGGCGCTTCTCTCGAGATGAATCGCTGGGAATTTGAGATCTTTTGGGGAGAGTCCGAGCTCCGGCCGAGGTAGAGGTGAACGCTACCCGGCCGAGCTCCGGGTAGCGTTCACCTCTACCTCACCGGGCGCGTGCCTTTCTTGTCGATAGATTCCTGAGTCATGGCACCACACCCTGTCAGTTATAGCCGTGACAATTTTCGACTGCTTAAGAGAGCTCAAGACAGCAACTCCGGAGATCGACCCCATGATTTATTATTTACAATCGGGTAAGTTGAAATTATACAATCAACATTACTCGAAAATTATGCTGAATACGATTAATTTGCAATAGCCTAATATATGTACATCTACATAAACTATAATCAAAATATTTACACTATCTACATTACCTACATAAAAAAACTAGAAACGAGTTCCAGGAGAGGAACTCTCGTCGTGAGATCTGAGCACGACGGGCCGCACGTCAAGATCCGAGGGGACATAAGCCTCGTTTTCGTGTCCCGCTTCGATGCCTCCCGCTTTCGATTTCTCCGGCTCCTGGAAGGACATGATGATTAACTGAGTAAGATGAAT